TAGGCACCTCGCGAGGGTCATCTAACCCCAGCACTCTTCCCTGCCTATGCATGGGGTCAGACTCGATGATCTTTTGAGGTCCCTTCCGACCCTAACGTCTATGAATCTATGACAGTGGTGTCTTCCCTGTATGAGGTATGCAGGGAGTACTTGAGGGAAGAGCTGCGCAAGGCAGGTTTGCAGGTGGCCTTACACCTCACCTTGGACACCTGGAGCAGCCGAGGTGGAGATCATGCTTCTCTCTCCCTCACAGGGCACTGGTGCAACCAGTCAGGCAGTCGGTGGGCTCTCCTTCAAGCCAAGGTGATGGATGAGTCCCGCAAGGCAACGGAGATCACGGGAGCCATGAACCGCATGGTGCAGGGGTGGCTCATCAGGAAAGGCGAGCTCACCTGCGGGTTCATGGTCACTAACAATGGGGTGAGTATGGTCAAGGCGGTCCATTATGCCAACTTCATTGGCATCTGCTATGTGGCACAAGTTCCACCTCAGTCAGCGACACCTTGGAGGGAGACAGGGCTGCCGGTGAGGGTGCCGTCACAACCAGCCAGCTCATTTCAAAATGCAGGAGAGTGGCAGGTTACTTCCACTGGAGCATCAAGGGGGGCAAGACAAACAGGCAGAGCTGAGCATTCCACAGGACAAAATCATGCAGGATGTGGAGACTTGATAGAACTGATGTTTGAGATGCCGGTCAAGCAACAGAAGGCCATCCACGAGATAGCCTTGCTCTGGGAGACTGAGATCAGCGGCCTCCTTAACAAAACAGAGTGGTTTTGGTCATTCTCAAGCCATTCCTTGATGCCACTAAGAGCCTCGGTGCTGGCAATGCCCTCCTTAGCCAGGTGATCCCCATAGTGACAGAGCTTCAGAACCAAATGGAGAAGTTCCAGGGAATCAATGTTCCTGGCTGGAGCAAGCTGCTGTCACCAGAGGTGCAGGCACTGGTGAAATGGCTGAAGGAGGGCATCAGGAAATGGCTAGACCCATTGCAGTACAGTACGGTCCAGGTGCTGACCGCCATGTGCAACCTGAGGGTGAAGGGGAGTGTGTGTGCCAGCAAAACCCTGGATCACTGAACGGAGGTGCTGGTGAAGAGGGTCAGGGAGGCAAAAGAGCAGAGGCAAGGGGACGTAGAAGAGGGGGATCCACCATCCCGTGCCAGCATGCCATCCACCAGTCAATCTCCTCCTCCACGACAGGCACTCCCAATGTGGGCCAAGGGCATGACTTCCATGTTGGGGTCCAGAGGCACCAGACCCCAGCAACGGGCATAGTGCTGAGGCCTTGGTGGCTATCTATCTCACCAAAGACGTGGAGCTGCTGCTGCGGAAGGATCTGGCCACGGTTGCCCAGGAACACTATTCTGTCCACCGACCATTGTTCCAAGCAAGAGGGTGTTCAGCATTGCTGGGGATATTGTGACACCTCACTGCACCTCACAGTATCATAGTACTTAGGGTCGGAAGGGACGTAAACAGATCATCAGGTCTGACCCCCTGCCCTAGGCAAGAACGGGTGCCGGGATCATCACACCCCAGCCAAATATCTGTCCAGCCTCCTCTTGAAGACCCCCAATGTAGCAGAGAGTACCACCTCATTTGGGAGCCCATTCTACAGTTAGGGATGCCAGGCTCTAAAGTAATGTCTCCTGATGTTCAGCCTGAACCTTCTAAAAATTTGTGGCAATTATTCCTAGTAACCCCAGGTGATGCCCGGGGGAACAGAGCCTCCCTCCCCAATTCTCGTTGGTCCCCGCCTGGTGAGTTTGTAAACAGCCAACAGATCCCCACTCAACCTTCTCTTGTGGGGCTGAATAGGTTCAGGCCCTTTAGCCTCTCTTCATAGGGCCTGGCCCTGCTGCCCCTTGACCATGCGAGTGGCCCTCTTCTGGACCCTCTCAATGCTAGCCACATCCCTCCTGATGTGCGGCACCCAGAACTGGATGCAGTACTCCAACTGTGGCCTGACCAATGCCGCATAGAGGGGAAGGATCACCTCCCTGGACCTGATTGTGATGCATCTGTAGATGCACGACAAGGTGTGGTTAACCTTATTGACCGCTTCCTCGCATTGGCGGCTCATGTTCATCCTGGAGTCAACAATGAGTCCAAGATCCCTTTCTGCCATCGTGTTGACAAAAAGGGTGTTCCCCAGCCTCCTTGGATCCTGGTTTGGTGGAGCAGCTGGTGTTCCTCAAGGTGAACCTCCCACAGCTGGGGTTCACCAAGTTCCACATACGAGCCTATGAACTTCACTTCATCAACCTCCTAGATACAGAAAATCATGGATTCTATATAGACACTGGATTTATAACACACTACAACCTACCCGACATCTGACTCCACAGGCACCTCTCCACTTTTACCTGGTATATCCCCCTTCCCACCCCCCCACCCCATCTGTCCTTCACCTCCCTGACACCTCAATTTACATTTTCACTGACTGGCTTTCTTGCCTGCATTGCATGCCAGCCTCTGGCTTCTTCACTACTCATTCCATTCAGGAAGAGCAGATACACCAACTAGATGCTTCCGCAGCTGGACGAAGGGTTTTTAAACCAGAAACCTTGCTAAGATATATTACCACCCCCCCACCCCATCTGTCCTTCACCTCCCTGACACCTCAATTTACATTTTCACTGACTGGCTTTCTTGCCTGCATTGCATGCCAGCCTCTGGCTTCTTCACTACTCATTCCATTCAGGAAGAGCAGATACACCAACTAGATGCTTCCGCAGCTGGACGAAGGGTTTTTAAACCAGAAACCTTGCTAAGATATATTACTCCAACTATGCTCAGGATTCTGACTGGCCTGAAGGTAGGGCCACAGCCTAAGGGGTAGCCAAAGGTCCCAGAGAAGGGACCACAGCTGGAGGGGGTGAAGGATGCAATATGCAAGGCATGAGCTGCAGTGTTAGGGGAGGTATGGAGCTGCAGAATGGATGTCACCCCAAGACACCTAAATGGGCAGCCTCCCACCTGGGAAACACCTGAATCAGTTTTCCATCAAGGCATGGCAAGCAAGAGAGAGGGGGCTGGTTGGCCCAGAAACAGGTAGGCAGGCAGAGATCTAACTGGGAAGGCCCTGTTACAGGCTATGATCCCTGCTGGTTTCATCATGCTGGGCCTTAAAACAAAAACAAAAACAAAAACACACACACACACACACACACACTTTGAGGTACGGTTTCACAGAGACCCCTGCACCTATCTCCTTGAAACTTGGCAGGCTTCATGCCCTCAGAAGCGGCTACTATTCCTGCAATTTTCATTCAAATCAGGCAGGAAATGACAAAGTTATAGGCATTTCAGTGATTCCCCACTGTAGCCTATGACCGAATCACTAAAACAGCATCGAAGCTCCAAAGCAGATTCAGCCGAACAGAAACGGAACGGTGATCCAAAACACCAAAACAAATCACCATCCTCTGAAATGGCTGAATCCGATACCAAAACGAAACAGCCATTTCGCAGTCCTATTAATAAGGCATTTTTGTCTTTGATAGATTTCTGGTGTGCATTCAGTCTGGCACGCAGCTGTTTTGTTTCTCCTGCATATTTTCCACCTGGGTTTTGGGTTGTAGCTGTGTTGGTCTAAGGACATAAGCAGGCAAGGTTCTTTGAGTAGATGCGATTACCTTTTATTAGACCAACTGAGTAGTTGGAAAAAAGTTTCAGGCAAGCTTTCGGGCTCAGGCAACCTTCTTCAGGCATAGAAAGAGTCTGCTGGTCTGAGCACAGACTCTCTATGCCTGAAGAAGGGTGACTGAGCCTGAAAGCTTGCCTGAAACTTTTTTCCAACTACTCAGTTGGTCTAATAAAAGGTATCGTATCTACTCAAAGAACCTACTTTCCACCTGGGCATTTAATGCACTGGATGAGATATATTACATTTCTGGAGGTTCAGATATAAGGAATGGTGATTGTTTTGTTGTTGGGGTGTAGTGGAGATGTATTGGTAGGTTTTACATTTTTTGTCCCGGCATGGTCAGGATCCATTCGGTGTACTTTAGGCCATAGGAAGTTTGCTTCTGGTGATGAGGTTGGCGAGATTTGGTGCTTGTTTAAAGGCTAGGATGTGTAATTCTAGAAAGATCTCTTTAAGGATTGGGTCTTCTTCTAATATGGGTTGTAATCGTTTGAGGGTTTTCTGCATAGGTTCCAGGAAGGACGGTATGTCATGTCTAATGGTGTGCGATTCATGATGATTTTCTTTTTGTAGTGCAGCAATTCTTCACATGGTATTCAGGTGACTTTTTCAAAAGTACGATCCATCTCTGGAGGAGTGTCCTTGTTGGACAAAAGCCCTTTTGAGATCTACAAGTTGACGATCATGGGTATTCTCTTCAGTGCAAATTCAGTAGTATCGGAGGGCTTGGCTGTATATCACAGCTTTTTCGGTGTGTTTAGGGTGACTGCTGGTTCTGTGTAGATATGTATGTTGGTCCACAGGTTTCTTGTATATGGTGGCTTGTATTTTACCATTCCAGAAATTGATCATAGTGTCTAAAAAGGAGATGTTGGTGCTGGAGTATTCAACAGATAGTGTGATGGAGGTTATTGAATTTGTGATGGACATCAATCAGGTGTTTGGTCCAAATGATGAAGATGCCATCTATATATGGCAGGGTTGGGTATAGCATGGGTTTGATGGTGCAGTTCTTAAGGAATTCTTCTTCTGGGTGGGCCATAAAAAGGTTGGCATATCATGGGGCCATTTTGGTGCCTATAACTGTGGTGGTGGTAGTGGTGCTGGTGCTATTGCTGTTGTGTGAGGATGAAATGTATAAGTTTGGTAATATCTTTAGGTCTGTATTCTGAATTGTAATCTTGCTCTTGTAGATATGCAAGGCAGGCTTGAATGCCATCCTGGTGTGGCATGTTGGTATATGGTGGCTAGACGGGTATTGTTGAGAAGGTGGTCTATGTTTTTAAATTTTCATAGATAGTCTGTTACATCTTGGACAAAACACGCTCTTTGGATGACAAAAGGTTTTAGGATGGATTCGATGAAACCTGATATTTCTTCAGTTAGGGTTCCATGATTGGATATTTTAGGTCTGCCTGGGTTTCCTTGTTTGCGGATTTTAGGAAGCATGCAAAAGGTCCCTGGATTGGGTAGCAAGGGGATCAAGTTTTGTAGTTTTTCTTGTAGTTCAGATGGAAATGATGTGGTAGTGTTTTTGAGTTAAGGTGAAAAGGGGTGTTGGATCTTCCTCTAGCTCTTTTGTAGTAGGTGGTGCCAGAGAGTTGCAGGTTGGCTTCTTTTATGTAGTCTTCATGGTTAAGGACAACTATAGCTCCTCTTTTATGTGCTGGTTTTATTACTATTTGGTGGCTAGATCCTAGAAATTCTATGGCCCTTCTTTCTGAGAGGGAGAGGTTGTAATGGTAGTGTTTGTTATCGATTACTAGGGCTGTGCGAAACAGCACCATTTCATTTCGACTTCCGTTTTGCCGGGACAGTGTTTTGTTTCAATGTGTTGTTTCACTTTGAAGCACTGTCCCGTTTCGTTTCGTTGAAACTGTTTTGATGTTTTGCCCATAGGCTATAATGGGGAATAATGAAAACACCTATAACTTTTTCATTTCTTCCCTGATTCGGATGAAAATTGCAGAGATGGTAGCCCCTTCTGAGGGGAGAAGCCTGCCAAGTTTCAAAGAGATAGGTGCAGGGGTTTCCGGAAAACTGCACCTCAAGGTGCACTTGCCAGCAGCAGCAGCCTGCTATCATCCCGCGTGCAGATCTGGGGGCCCGCACCCCTGGGAGGGTTGTGCTGCACTCCTCCTGGGGGTGCGGGCCCCCAGATCTGCACTCAGGATGACATGAGGCTGCCACTGCTGCTTAAGAACGGTGACAGGAAGACTGGTGCTGCCACTGGCCCCAGGCTGAGCGAGAGCTTCCTGTCATTGTGTGTGCAGATCTGGGGACCTGCACCCCCGGGAGAAGGGCAGCGCTGGGAAGGCAGGTGGAGCTCTGTGGGGCTGGTGGAGCCAGTTGGAGCACAGCCCTGGCTCTCCCCTGCCTCCCACCACCAGGCTGCTTTGAAACCCGAAACATTTCGAAATGTTTTGAGTGCCCTCATTTCATTTTGAAGCTGTTTCAGAGCCTTTTGTTTTGTTTTGATTTTGCTATTTCAAGCTCAAAATGTGTCAAAACAGCTTAGACACAAAACACTCATCAAAATTCCACACAGCCCTATTGATTATTTCATTGTTCATTCTTTCCCTGAAGCAGTCAATATAGAGCTCAAGGTTTGAATTTTGTCCACTGTGTGAAGTCCAATTTGATTTTTTTTTTAATTTTTTTAGTTTTAATCTTTTCCTCAATGCTGTCACAGGATGAAGTGTTGTTGAAAGTGGATTCATTTTGGTTGTAGAAATATTCCTCGAGACGGAGGTGTTGGAAAAATTCTTCTCGTTCTCCACATTGTAGTATCTTATTAGGGTATTTTTCTGGATAAAATTAAGGCCTTTAGAGAGGACAAACTTTTTAGCTTACAGCACAACCATCACCGCTCCTGGATCTTATACCTGCACCTCCAGATATGTAAATCTCTCTCATCCGGTGCACTAAAGTCCCAAACGGAAAATATATAGGAGAAACCAAACAACAACTGCATACCAGAATGAATGCACAACGAAAATCTATCAAAAGACAAAAATACACAATTATCAGTGTGTCATTGGGCTCACCAATTATGTCACCAGCAGGGGTTTAGTGTCTTCGACCACAGGATGTTGTTCCAAGAAGAAGGATTTCTAGGAAGAGACAGGATCCACCTGATGGAGAGGGAAGAGCATCTTTGCAGCAGGCTCACTAACCTTGAGAGGAGGGCTTTGAACTAGGGGGATAGAGAGCAAAGCTCCAAGGCAAGTGGCGAAGTGGGTGACCTGGAGGAAGCACAAGCAGAAGGGGCAACAGGGGAGGCCTTTTCATTCTTCCTGAGGAAGTAGGGCAATTGGGTAGTTACTTCAGGTGTCTGTACACAAATGCACAGAACCTGGGAAGAATTGGAAGTTCTGGCACAGTCACAGGACTGTGATGTGATTGGCATAAGAGAGATGTGCATGACTGGAGTACTGTTATGGATGAGTATAAACTGTTCAGGAAGGACAGGCAGGGGAGAAGAGAAGCTGCAATTATGTAAAAGAGTTGTATGGTTGCTCAGAGTTCCAGTAACAGAAGATATTCCTGTTGAAAGTCTCTAAGTTAGGGTCAGAGGGGAGAACAACACGGGTGAGGTAGTGGTGGGTGTGTGCTATAAGACCACAAAGATAAGATGGATGAGGCTTTCTTCAAACTGCTAGTACAAGTTTCCTGATCACAGGTCCTGGGTCTCGTGTGGAACTTCAATCACCCTGACGTGCTGGGAGGGCAATACAACACTGCACAGGCAGTCCAGGAAGTTTCTAGAAGCTGTTGGGGACAACTTCCTGGTGCAAGTATTGGAGAGGCCAACTAAGGGCTGTGCTCTTCTTGACCCGCTGCTCTCACACAGGGAAAAATTGATTGGTAATGTAGTTGTGGATGGCAACCTGGACAGCAGCAAACATGAGATGATGGAGTTCAGGATCCTGAAGAAAGGAAGGAGAGCAGCATAGTAAGGACCCTGGACTTCAGAAAAGCAGACATCAACTCACTCAGGAACTGATGGGCAGGATCCCCTGGGAGGCCAGTCTGAGAAGGAAGGCAGTCCAGAAGAGCTGGTTGTATTTTAAAGAAGCCTTACTGAGAGCACAGGAATAAACCATCACAATGCACAGGAAGACTAGCAAGTATGGCAGAAGATCAGCTTGGCTTAGCAAGGAACTTTTCAGTGAGCTTAAACATAAAAAGGAAGCTTACAAGAAGTAAACTAGTAGGTAGGGGTATGAGAATATTGCTCAGGCATGCAGAGATTAAGTCAGGAAGGCCAAAGCACAATTGGAGTTGCAGCTAGCAAGCGATACAAAGGGTAACAAGAAGGGTTTCTACAAGTATGTCAAGCAACAAGAGGAAGATCACATGAAGTGTGATCTTGACTAAATGGGGGGGGCAACCCAGTGACCTAGCACTTTCCCCATCCTACAAACAGCATACTATTTTTTTCAAGTTGTGTCTGAACTAAGACTTCTACTCTAACAGAGTCTGTCAGCCAAGAATACAGTTCATGCTTCATATTTAGGGTGGTCATGTATTGCTACTACTGAAGCCCATAGCATTTGCCAGTATCTCATACTAGTTCAATATGCATGTTAAATAACAGGTCACAATGACTTATCAGTAACACAATGACGGAGGATGCCATAAGCTGCCAATACGTCTCACAGGAACATGGATATCCGTCTTCTGTCCATGATCAAAAAACCCTACATGTACTGACATGGGAACCACAACTAAAGACCCATATTTTTGTCCATAGCTAACAAATTGCTGAACCAAGACCAAGGATAAGATTCCTAAGTGTTTTCATATGGGGTGTATACTTCTTCCTCTCTGGGAATCCAAGGGAGGAAGGCATGGGACCAGGAGGAAGAAAGCAAGCAAGAGTTTGCAGCTCTTAGACAGATGCTGAATTGAATTCTAATCTGGATCCTTGCACCCAATGAGGCAGAAACTTCCCAAAGCACTGCGCTCCATCCATTTTATCCAATGACTAAATGCAAGAAGCAACAGCAGCAGCATAGCTTTCAAAGGAGCATTAGAGAGGGGACCAGATAATGCTTAGACAGCAGCATGGTGGTTATAGCACTGTGCTGGAAAGTCTAAGAGATGCAGGTTCAAACTCTCTCTGGACGAGGGTAGCCAAGAACCCAGGTCTCTTGCTTTCTAGCCACTTCACTGCTGGGACTAAGACACAGGATGGTCATCAGACCCCCCTTACGCTGCTTCTTCCTTGAACCTGCACTCAAGTACATGTCCAGGCAGTGGGTAGCTTACTGCATACATTCAATCTATGTGAACACACTTAGGTGTCCCCAGTGCAGGGGTTAAGTACCAGAAACACCAAGGTACACAGCTAAAAAACTGCCGCTTCAGTGGACAAAGGGAAATGGAATTCTACCCTAGAAAAGCAATGTTAATAAGCTACCAAAGAGCAGGCTAGGTTCTTTGGGTAGATGTCTTTTATTAGACCAACTAAATAGCTGGAGAAATCGTTCTTTGCAAGCTTTCAGGCACAAACACCCTTCTTCAGGCAATATGGAGAGAATCTTGTCTGCCTATGTCTTTAGACCAACACAGTTACAACCAACAACCCTAAACCAAAGAGCAGACACACACAAATGCTTCATTGTCCTCACAATCTGTCTTCTAGCTCAGAGGTGGCGACTCTGCAGCATGCAGACCACCAGTGGCACAGGCAGCCTCTGTGTAGCATGTAACAGATTGGGGAGGTGACAAGCAGAACACTGGCAGATAGGACAGGGAGCAGAAAGGAGAGCATCAGATCAGGCAGGGAGCGCAGGGCAGGAAGCAGAATGTTAAGCAGCAGATCAGGTAAAGGAAAAGGACCAGAATGGCAATTAGGGTGGGCCTGGGATTAATTTGTGGCATGTCTGCCAAAACGAGTTGGTCCACCCTGTTTAAGCTACTAGAAAAGTGGTCTTAAAAAGCATAGCCAGGCATTTTTGGAAAGTAGGTAGACAGCTTCTCACAACAGAATACAGTCTGATTCAATTACTCTGTTCATTCTTTTATAAGTGCTATAGGAAAAGGCAGCAATTTGTCCCATTACCCCCCCCCCTTTTTTTTTTTTAATACCAAACACCCCCAATAAGTCCCCAGAGTTATGCCTTTTGGAAAAGTAAAATGAAGAAAAACTTTTTTTCCAGACTTATGGATACATTCAGCAAGAACAGAGCCTAATTGTGGCTCACTCACTCGCCCTTTCCTGTTCATGCAAAAGCTACAGTTTTAAGCATTTCACAGCTAGTGTCAGCAGCTCATGGCTGTTTAGCCAGAAGCTGAAACTGTAGCTCTTGCTGAAGATCAATGTCCACAGGTGGACTTAAAATTTTAAAGAGAGCTAAAAAAGTCTGCAGGACTGTGAAATGAGAAAGACAGAGAGACCAGAAATAGATAACAGACAACAAAATTGACAAAGAGGGGGTACTCTGATTAGTAAAACATCAAGACTTAGAGAGAGATGGTCATTAACACTTATGGAATGGAAGACAGAATAGTAGGAATCAGGTAGGTTATAATAAGGCATGAAGTCAACCAACTCCCTTAGGGCTGCCTGAATAGAAATGCCACTTCTGGCAGTTGGGTTTAAACTTTGGGTGAAAAAAGAATTAAAATGGGTTGCAACCACTGAACTACAACCCCTCCTTGATCATCTGCTCCTTCCATGTAGCTGCTAGTGGGAATGCAAAGCAGTAGTAGTCACCTTACAGCATTTTCACGCTTTTAATTTGGGCAGGAAAAAAAGAAAAATCAGCTCTCACTTAAGCTACAAACCCCAGTTTTGGAAGGCTATTTCTGGGGGAACGGTATGTGTGATAGGCAAGTAAATATGGGATATCATGGATATGCAGACTCCCTGGGCCCATCAAGCAGATTTAGATGTTTGTCTTGCATAATTCTATTCTTAAACCATCAATATCTTCACACCACAAGCATCACTAACTGAGTACTGTTACAGTGATACTGGTGCATTAACAGCAGAACTTGCAAGGTCTAAAATTCCAAAGCGTCTCAGCAAGAAACTACGAATGTCACTTCCTATTACTTACTTG